TTTATCATTTGTTTATATTACATACGGAATCAATGCAAACTTGTATCTTTGAACAGAATGACTAATGAGAACAAAATTGTGAGTATGAGCACAGGTGGGACCATTATAATGCTTTGCATGAAGGAAATGCATTTAGGCGCCCAGACAATTAGGCTTATCGCATATAATATTGGGTTATTAAGTTTGAAGGACTTTTTACTACTTCTAGGTGTGCTGCCAGCTGCAGTTGCCACTGTAAATGATACAACCATCAGTTGGAGAGTGCTTTGGAACTTTAAAGGCAAGAGAAACCTTTTCTTCAGTGGAATATTCCTTTTTACTTGCTTTTCTGTTCAACCTGATAAGGCTTTAAATGTACTTGTTTTGAGAATTCCTTTCACCCCTTGACCTATATTTTCACAATTGAACAATGCAAAATAGAATTACCAACCTTGTTCATAAAGTGAGGTACCATATTGGAAATCACGTGTTTTTCAAATTGCCCTGTGATATCAATATAATTATTGTCAACCATAAATTTATCAGCAAGCAATTGGCAGCATAAACCAAAAATGTAGGAAAAACTAATTATATCCATTAACTTAATGTTTGCTTAACATCAAGTTTGGTGATGAATTGGGACAAGACTACTTGATTTTAGCAGCTGAACTCCTCAGCCTTGTGCCCACAGGGATATAATTAGAGAGACCCTCCACTCTGCAAATGGGCTGTCAGCATACCCACTCTTTACCTGCACCTAGTCATGAGGACTTGTTGAAGGTTCACTAACTGGTGAGTCAGTGGGGGAGCATGCACTGCCCATCAAGACTTTGTGCTTAGAGGTTCCTGTGGAGGAGGAATTCAGCTGAGGAAGCTGATCTGTTGTCAGGCAAAATTGCATCACCTTGGGCCGGCCGAGTGGCGCGACGGTTAAGAACTCACTTGGGATGCCAGAGGGCCCCGGTTCGGATCCCACATAGGAGGGCCAGTGACACTGCCCTCCACAGCTAAGATGCTGAACAACAGCTCAACCTGGAGCTGGGCTGCCATGAGTCGCCGGCGGCTGCGTAGGCTGCAGTCCCTGTGGCAGTGGGTTGCCATGGGCTACCGCGTGTAGCCAGCAGCCAGCGTGAGCGGCCAGCAGCCGCAGTGAGCGGCCGTCCAGAAGCCGGCGACTGATCTGCCTCGCCAGAGAAGAGCACAATGATGGTGCCAGCTTGGGCCAGTGAAGCAACGACCTCCACAACTAGATTGAAGAACAAAACGACAGCAACTTGTCTGTTCCCCTTCCCCCAATTCCCCAGCGCTGTTCCCCTCCCCGCAATTCCCCAATAAAAATCTTTAAAAAAAAAATTGCATCATCTTGTCAATGTGCTCTTACTTAGACTCCATCTCCCTATTTTTACCAGTGGGAAACCATTTGCCCCTATGAATATTCTTTCACCGTGTTGAGAGAGTTATTGCAGTGGTTAAGAGCATGTGCTCTGAGTTAACACCTGCCTCTGACTCTGACTTTATTTTGCAAATCCGGGCAAGTTAACTTTTATGAGTTGCAGTTTCTTCTTCTTCGAAACATCGAAAATAATGGCCTATTTCTTAATGAGAATCTTGGAAGACTGAGTGTGATAGTGCATGTAAAGCATTTAGTTTTATTCTTAGTACATATTAAGTGCTTCATAAATGATTGCCATTATTATTGTACAACCTATAAATAGCACTCAGTTATTTACTCTCCCCATTCAGCTCCATTAAGATTGGTCAATTTTACACAAGCTCTGGAACTTGAGCAATTGGGGAGGAGGTGGCTTCTTCTGAACAACGGGAGCTCCCAAGCTCCATCTGCTCAGGACATGATCCCTTAAGACCAGCCTAAAAGTAAAATGGTCCATTCAGGCCAAGGGCAGTTATGAAAAAGGAAATGTACTGGCACATCGTAAGTGCCTACTCTATCTCAGGCATGATGCTTGGTGTCTTACATGTTTTAACTTCATAATATATTCTAAGACATGGATATTATAATTTCTTTTATATATGTATATTCATATTGTACTATGTAATTTCTATTATATATGCAGAAACTGAGGATGAGAGAAGTAATGTGGCCAGAATTATCCAAGTAGTATGTGGCAAAGGTGGTGTATGAAGAGATCAATCTGTCTGTAAGGCCCAGATACTCTCCAGTTGGCCATGCTGCCATTTTTCTGCCACAGTTCATTCTAACCTTATTTTAGCACCCTCCGGTCTCAAAAAAAGCTGTTCCTTGCTTCCTAGTTAAAGTTTCTTCAGCTCTCATACCTACTATGAATAGCGATTTAAATTATCTACAATGTCACTGACTTGAGACCCAGAGACTGTTTTCTCCTCAAAATCTGACCCTTCTGCTGCCTCATTTTGTTACTTAAATTATTGTCTGAAGTAACCAAGAAGGCTTGCAATACCGGGGGTCCCCCCAAAATGTATACACATGACTTGTATTCATCTTTTGTTATTGGTATATATTGAGCATTACAATTTTAATACAGTTTTTTCCTTCCTTAAAATGGGTATACATTTTTTTGGCACCCTCTGTACGTGCTCTGGGCTGATATGTGATGGAAGATTTACTCATGTTTCACTTTTCTTTTTTAATTACTAAGGTCTTGGGAAAGTATGTTGTAAAGCAAAGTGTCATTACTCTCTAGCATCTTACTGACATGTTAATTCATGCTATATTTATCCATCTTCCAAAGGAGATGTAAAACTCATTCTCACCGCCTTCAAAATGAGTCATTCCAAAGGAGCTTGGTAGTACATTCTGCCAACTTCTTAAATAACTGGTGTATTAATGTCTTTTCCCATTTTCTAGAGGATCTTTAGTTGTTCATCATGCATTTAAGTTTCAGAGAGATAATTTGCAATCCAATTTTGTGGCTCTACCTTTAAAGTCAGTTATACCCAAGACATAATGTCATAAATGCTCAAACTCCATGAATTGTCTTCAAGTAATAGTTTTATAGCTTGCCCTGGAGAAATTCATAGAGGGTATTTGACTGGGTCAGAGGGAACGTAATGATTCTGGACTACTTCCACTCATGGAAAAGAAACAACATTAGTGAGATATTTGTTTCCTAAAGATGCATTTCAAATGTATTATGAGGCATTTTAACTTAAAATTCTAGCTAAGGGACATCTTGTTAAAGGTACCTCAAAAGTGCACACATTGATTCTTTAAAGGCACATCCTTAATTCTCTGGTTTGCATCCTCTTTCAGGAATGTATTTTCCTTGAAGCCATGTGGCTGCAATCCATATGTAATCAGCTTCTAGCTGACCTCAGGTGTGCTCCGTCCTGGAGGTGGAACCCAACAATTAACCCATTTCTTCCAGACAGATAAGATGCAATAGATCCAGACATGAATGAAAGTGCTTTAGTACAAAACCACAGTAGATTAGCAGTGTGACATGTGGCTTGACAGGATTTAACTTGAAGGCAGGTATCTCATCTTTCTATTCCTTTGCCCTTTTCATCATGGGATCTTCAGCTGCCCATTTTTTTCTTGAGAAAACTCTTTCTTGTCTTTCAGCAAAATTACCTAAACAACCATGGCCTCAAAATCCCTTGTGAACAAAGGAAGGGCAAACATAAATGAATCTGTTGACTTTAAATAAACAGAACAATTTCTTTTCTTTTCTATGGGTCATGGATGAAGGAGTCAGCCATCATTTCTCTGAGACATATGCAAGCCACATACATCTTTCTTAATACTGAAACCATTTAAAAAATTTTTGATTCCAAAGAGAAACTTGCAAATAAACTGTCATCTATGAGGACAATATGACAATGTCTCTTCCCCCAAGTTTCAAGGCAGTGAAAATCGCTCAACACAGATAAGCCTTACAATCAGCAAATACAAAATCTACTATCTGTACTTGGAAGTGCTAAGCCTCCATATTTGGCTGAAAAGACAGCCAAGGAGGGATATTTATAATTCAGCAAGTCTTATTCTCTGTGCAATCCAGGCTCTAATTACACGGAACATAGTTTCATGCCCCAAACCATCTGATTTCACTAAACCTATCTAATACATTTCTTTTCTACCTATGATTTAATAAACCTCTTGCTTAAAAATGTCTTCCTAGTATAATGGACCACGGTGCGTGGAATCACTGTACCTGTCAATCTTTATAACCCTCCCATAAATTGTTCCTCCCTTAAATACTGCATTTTGGTAAGTTTGAGGTTCGTTATGATACATCTGCAGGTTAATTGCTTATCTTTAATACTGTTCAGCACAGAATAAATGCACATGTACAAATCATGTAAAATCAGATGATGTCACTTATTTATACATGCATATATATATGTGTGTGTATATATATCCATATATGTACACATACATGTATATATGTGTGTATATACATAATTTTTTGTTAACCACCGAAAAGGGTCAATAGATTGATGCCTAGAGATGCAGACCCAATTTTAGAAGCAGATGTGAGCACCATAGTAATTATGATAGGAGAAGGGTTTTAACGTGTTTTTGTTTTTTTGTAATAAAGCAAACAATAGTATATAATCCTAATAGTATGTAAACATCCCCAGCCCCTGTACATCCCCGGCATGGCTATGTGCATTTGAATTCTTAATAAAAGCTCACAGAATTCTAGATTCATACTCACAGACTGGAGACACAAATCCTGAAATATCAGCATCATGGCCCCTGTGGGCCACGGACGCTGTACACACAGTCAAGACAGGAGGGCCCGGGAACTAGCCCCACACTCACTCACACAGGTATCTTTTCCCTGAGGGCCACCCAGCAGCGACACCGCTAGTGGTGGTCACCCCGGACTGGCAGGCACTCCCAGTCACACTCGGGGGAGCTCCCTAGAAACCTGAAGAAGGGGGGAGGATCGGGTATTTGAGGGCAGCGGCGCGCACCCTGGCACGGTCTCCGAACCTCCAGCACGGTCCAGGGACCCGAAGCCGCTCTAGAGCTACCCGGAGGATCTGCATTATGCCAAGGCGCTGGGCCAACTCACCTCGACGAAATAAAAGCAGGGCAGGAGGGTGACACTGTCCTTGATCACTTTGCCCTTTGGCCTCTCCTTCGTCGACATCCCGGCCGCCTGCCCTGGTCTGCGTCCTCCCCTGGGCGAGGTGTGCACAGCGCAGCCGAGGCGAGCTGCCTCCTCCAGCCGCAAGCGCCGGTCGCCGCTGATGTCACATTCCCCGCGGGCACCTCTGGAGCCAGCGCGCTGCGTGCAGCGCCCCCGCCTCTCCCCGCCCCTTTTTGCAGCAACCCAGCGGTTCTCAGAGCCCGCAGGTCCTCTTCCTCCCCTACTCTGGTCCCGCTCCCTGCTTTTCTCTGCGCAGAGACGTCCAGCTCCCTCCTCCAAACTGTTGCTGCAATGGCTTCCCCTTCCTGCCACCCTTCCTCTGCTCTCCACCGCCCCTGCTAGGCTTCAGGGCTGTCGGAACTTGACGTCAAGAATTGGAAAAGGGGGACGCACCCCTGGATTCTGCAGCAGTGAGCTGAGGAGCTAAGGCTCCCACGCCCTCCACTGGGAAGCCTCCCACGCCCTCCACTGGAAAGCCTCCTGGGTCCCTCCAGGAACCACAACTTCAGGATTGCTGGAGAACAGAAGTCCAGCTCCTGCGCACTGACCAACAGTGAGAAAACCAACCTCTACCTGCGTTTTGATCTAAAACTGGGATCTCATACTGAACAGTAGGCCCTGATAGGAACTCATTTAGAGCTGGCTGCTATCCAGGATTGACCTCCCCTCGTGAGGATTCTCTGCCTAGAGGACACCCTGGCTCCCTCCAACACCTGCGCACCTGCTATCAGGGAATGGTGAGGGTCCCCTGCATCAAGGGAGGCAGACGTGTAGGTTTCTTCATTGAACCCAAAGGCTGGGTGATCTTCCTTCATCCTCATGCCCTCATAACGTCAGTATTGCAGTCATCAACACCAGCACTGCTTCAGACATTAACAACCTAAACAAAGTCCTTCACCTTGGGACCACGTGCACGGCTGATCTCAACTTTGTGATGCTGTTGGCAACCCAGATGTGTCAAGTGACATAGAGGAGAAAAACACCCAGCAAATATAAAACAGTTTACTATACTAATAAAGATAACACACTTCCGTAATCATATGCCCCAGGCCATTTTCAACATCTCCAAAGCCTCCATTTCAAGCATGTGACAATTAATTCTCACCCGACTTTCAGCTCACTTCTTCAATCGCTACTCTGTCTTAGTCAGCTTGGGCTGCTGTAACAAAATACCATAGACTCGGTGGTTAAACTACAGACATTAGTTTCTCACAGCTCCGGAGGCTGGAAGTCTGAGATCAGAGGGCCAGCATGGCCAGGTTGTGGTGAGGACTCTCTTGTCGACTTGCAGACACTTCGTACCTTCTGATGGTGGAGAAAGAGAGAGCCACCTTTCTAGTGTCTTCTTATAAGGGCACTAATCCCATCATGAGGGGCCTCCCTCATGACATTATATAAACCTAATTATCTCTAAAAGGTCCTACCTCCCTATACCATCACTTGTGGGTTAGGGTTTCAGAATTAGGGGGGAACACGAACATTCAATCCACAGCACACTCCAGTAGATCTTTGGCAGCCTGTGGACAATCTGGTCCACCAACACCCACATTTCATTGTCACTACCTGCTCATGCCCTCAGTTTCTTTCACCAGGGTTGGGTTCCAGAATCCAGCTGTATAATTCCTCATTCCCCCCTTCCTTTTTATCACACTCATTTGGCAAAATCCCAGCCACAGTTAAACCCAGTTCTCTGCCCTTTTGCCAGGGCAACTTAAAGTGACTGGAGAGCAACACATAACCACGTGGTCTTGACTCACGTCAGAGTCATGACTGCAAACTTCACATAGGGCCCACTAGCTCACAATCCTAGTATTCCATAGTCTGTTCACTTTTTTTTTTTAAAGATTTTTATTGGGAATTGGGGGGATGGGAACAGCACTGGGGAATTGGGGGAAGGGGAACAGACAAGTTGCTGTCGTTTTGTTCTTCAGTCTAGTTGTGGAGGACGTTGCTTCACTGGCCCAAGTTGGCACCATCATTGCGCTCTTCCCAGGTGAGGCAGATCAGTCACTGGCTTCTGGATGGCCGCTCACTGTGGCTGCTGGCTGCTCACACTGGCTGCCGGCCACACACGGCAGCACATGGCAACCCACTGCCACAAGGGGTGCAGCCTACGCCGTTGCCGGTGACTCACAGCAGCCCAGCTCCAGCTTGAGCTGTTTTTCAGCATCTTAGCTGTGGAGGGCAGTGTCACTGGCCCTTATATGTGGGATCTGAACTGGGGCCCTCTAGCATCCCAAGCCAGCTCTTAACTATCGCACCACTCGGCCGGCCCATGTCTGTTCACTTTTTGACTCTCTGAAGACCGACTCATACCATGTCCTCTATCTTCAAATCTTGTCGTTCTCAGGGAACAACTTCAACTCTTATTTCACTCAGAAAATGGAAGAAATCAGAAGGAAACTATGTCATCTTCCAAAGCTGAATACTTGCTGGACTGGCACAATAGCCTCCTTAACTGTTGCACTAGGTTCCAACCTTGCTGCCTCTGTAACATACAAAATATTCCCTATACAGTAGCCAAAATGATCTTCTGAAAAGTAAACACAATTGTGTCATTCTTCTGCCCAAATCCTTCAAGAGCTCTTTGTCACATTCAGGAGGAGATCAGAACTCCCCATCACTTCCTCAAAGCCCTACTGAAGGACCCTGCCCCAGCCATAGGCCTCATTTACTCTGTGCCTCGATGGTCTGGCAGTTCTAACCTAGCTTTTTACTGCCTCAGGGACTTTGCATTTACTGTTCCTTTGTCCAAGAACACTGTTCTGCCAGTATTGCCTGGCTCAACCTCTTACTTAATTCATACTTTTGCTCAAATTTAACTCCTGGTAGACGGTTTCTTTGACCACTCACTCTCTCTAAGTAGCATTTATTACCCCAAGCCTCCAGCACTGTTTATTCTTTCATGTTATTTTATATTTCTCCATAGAACTTATCATTATTTGATAGCCTATCAAGTATATCTTGGTCAATTATTTCATCACCTTCCTCTCCCACTAGAATGTAAACTTTACAAGGTCAAATGCTTTTTCATCACTATATATAACAGCTAGTAACTGGAACTGTGCCTGGCACATAGTGAGGATTCAGTAAACATTTGTTGAAGAGCTGAATGAACCAATTAAATTAAATGATGCATATAAAATCATGTAATGTAGTTTATTCCACATACTAAATGTCTAATAATTGTTGTTGATTCTGTTTGTTAATTATTATGTTATTAATCACTAGCTATATTTTTTATTACTACTGAGTTATTTTGTGTGAGTGTGTGTGTGTGTGTGTGTGTGTGTGTGTGTGTGTGTTAACCTTCTTAGTACCTCAACAGGATTTACAATTCTTGGTAGAGGTACAAAAATAATTTATAAACTTTCTGAATTTATCATCCTAGAAACTCAGCATTTCCATATAAAAGGGAGGTAAAATATGAGGCTAATATTATAGTTCCCTAATTTCATTAGGGAAGAGCTGAAAATATGTGATAAAATATCAGCGATGCATAGTAGAAGGTGATTTTCATAATTTAGGAAGTTATGGGAACATTAGAAAGGTGCTCTCCTTTCCTGTCTAGGTGGTCTGGCCAGCTTGACCTGACCTCGTAGTCAGGGACCAGGAAATGCTCCAGAATTCAAAGCCAATCCCTACTGTAAATCTTCTAACCTCCCCTTGCCTAGATTCTTCTTCCTTTCCCCGCTTTTTAAAAAATATATTCTTTTCCCCATTTAAAATCATTTCACAAAACAAGCTGGTTTATGCAATCTACTAAACACTAAACACAATAATAATGTCTTATATTGGGGTAACAGTTTGATGCATGTTACCTACTTTAAATTTTGATGCTTAAAACAATGCAATGAACAGGGAAAATTATTTCCCTATTTTATAGAAAAATTTTGTAGACAGGATTCAGAGATGGAAAAAATTTATAAAAGGTTGGCTCAGAGGAGAATGAGATTTGGAATCAGAAGGCCTGGGTTCAAACCCAGAATTTACGTTTGAACTCTGCTCTTGAGTAAGTCACTTAGTATTTCCAGGCTTCAGTTTCCTAACATGTGAAATGAGAAAAGTATTGGTACCATCTAACAGCAACACTCGGTGGCTGAAATGTGACAATATATGTGGTAGCCCTTGGTAAAATGCCAGTTTGATCCATCCATTGATCTGACCATTTATTAAACCTACAAATATTTATTGCTCCCCCACTATGTGAAAGGCACTTTTTCACTGCATACCCATTGGATAGATATGGTTCCTGCCCACACAGAACTCACAGTCTAATGCAGGTGGACAGGGGAGAGACACAGACATGAAGTTAGTCATAACAATGGAAACACTTCCATGATGATCACCATGGACAAGGCACTGTTAGAAATGCTTTGCACATGTTACCTCGTTTATTTCTTACAACCTTCTTAAGAACTGTGTACCACTGTGTCACATTTTTCAGTAAAAAAACACTGAGCTCAGAGAAATTAGGTATTGGATGCAAGTGTAGCAACTGTAATTAGTGGAGCTGAGATTTTGAACCCAGTAGGTTGCTCCAAGTTCTGTGATCTTAAGGGCTATAGATACTGCCTCTCTTAACAAACATGTAATTACATCTATGATGTACACCACTAAAAAATCAATGAGGTTTAAAAAAAAAAGAAACAATGAGGATGCAATTAATTACTATGAGAAACATCTTAAATATGGTGGCCCAGGAAGGCCTTGGAGGAGTTGACATTCCAGCCACTTATAGTATTGAGGCTACTAGAGATATTCCTGAACTAAAAAAACCTGTTCCATCCCATCTTCACCTGTAAATCCACATTTAGGCCAAGGGCAGGACTTGTGTATTGAATGTTGATTCAGGCATGCTAGTTGCAGATCCGCATAATAACAGTGGCATTGAAAACAATTTAATGTGCCTCACAGAACTTGAACGTTTTCAGTGGAAATCCTGTTCCTGTGAATTCAAATGAGAAATGGCACCCACTGAAAAAGCAGCACTCTGACATTTCACAAGACAGAGTATTTCACAGCACAAATAACCTGAAAAAAATATGCCTGAAAATGCATTTGACATCATTATTAAAACTGTCAGACTCCTGAGAAAAGAAAGAAGTAGTTTTCCTATGTACTGGTTTTGGGTGCCCATAGACAAATACAAACTCTGTTTCAGCTTCTTGGCAACTATTCATCCTCAGGATATTTGTCTGACATTTATCGTTAAGGTCATATAAAAAGGGTATTTAAGTTAGTAGAGTTTTTCCCAGATATCAGTCTACTCCACAGCATTTTGAGGAGCCACTGTGAGATTTTATTGTATTTTTCTAAAAGAAAGAGGTTTAAAAGAACTGAATATGCAGATGTGGATATAGCAAAAGTACTGAAATGAAGAAAGTCCTGGTAGATGGGAAAGTGATGTTTTAGTTTTGACTAAATTATTAATTGTTGACTAATTGCATGACTGTGGGTGAGAACACTTGACCTCAGGGACTCTATTTCCTCATCTAAACATGGAGTTAGAATTGTAAAGTAGACATCTGTTGTTTTCTGTTTGGACAAAATCCATTATTCCTTCTTGTGATGGCTTCTCAAATGTTTGTGATGAACTGTTCCCTTCCCACAGTCAAAGCTGAGCCTTAATGAAGGGGTTTAGCCCTTGATAAGCCAAGTGGGAGGAAGGTGAGCCCAGTGTGAAAAATTGCACTCTGTTCTCCAGGAATTTGAACCTTGAGGGGAGTGATATTAAGACAGAAAGTTCTTGGTATTGAGTCATGGCAGAAGCAGAACAGAAATTAAAGTTGGTCTTTCAGTTCTCAGAACCGCCCTTGTT